TCAAGATAAAAAAGCTAGAGATGCAGCTCCAGGTGTTGTTGAGCTGATCAAATAACTTAAATTAAAAAAGAATGCTCACCTTGAAAAACCTAAGGTTTCTATAGTAGAAAGTAAAGGAGGGGACTCGAGCTCCTCTTCACAAGGAAAATGATTATATCCTTCTGGAATGTAGGAGGGTTAAACAACCCTCTTAAACAAGGCAAAGTCCTTAGAAGGGCAGCCAAAAATAATGTCGATATCCTCTATTTGATGGAAACTCGTGTGAAAGTTGAAAAATTAGCTGATATTCTAGCTACTTCCTTTGAGAATTGGAATTCTATTAACAATTATGATTTTGTTGAGAATTGAAGAATTTGGCTTTTGTGGAGAAAAGGTCTTGATCTCTCCTTATGTTATGTTTCGGCTCAAAGTATCACTGTCAAAGGACTGTTCAATGAAGATCCTTTCATTATTACTGCAATCTATGGCAGTAATAATGGAATTTTAAGAAAACAGCTTTGTCAAGACCTTAGACACCTCGAATCAAATTTTAGTAACCTCTCTTGGATATTGGGAGGTGATTTCAATGTCATTCTGCACAATTATGAGAGTTCGAATTATGAGCATATGGGTATGATCACCTCTTCTGATATGTTAGAGTTTCAAGAAATTACTCATGACTTTCAGTTACAAGATCATCCTTACTTTGGCCCTACATTTTCATGAAGTTACAAACAAAGTGAAAATTACTTAGCTCAAAAATTAGATAGATTTAATCAACCCTTTGTGGTTTGAAATTTTCCCTCACTCTTATGTGGAATTCATGGCACCTAGTCCTTTAGATCACTGCATGGAAATGGTGGAGCTTAGCAAAGAGGTCCAAGTTAACAGACCCAAACGTTTCAAATTCTTCAACTGTTGGACACTTCATCCAAATTTTCTTGAACTTTTGAGTCAATCCTGGAATTTAGAGACCATAGGCAATCCAATGAATACTTATTCATAAAGCTTAAACGTCTCAAAGTTAGTCTTAAAAATCTCAATAAAGACTATTTTAGTGACATTTCAGCTCGAGTCCAACAAAAAAGAGAAGAACTCGAATTGCAACAACTTCATACCTTAAAAGGTAATGATCCCTTGGAGAAAGAGCTTGAGTTGCATAGAGAGTTCAATTCGTTAGAAGAAGCTGAGTCAATGTTTTTGAAACAAAAAAGCTAAAGTGTATTGGCTTAAAGAAAGCGACAAGTGTACAAAATTTTTCCACTATGTCATTATTACTAAGAACAAAACATAGACTATAAGGTTCTTGGTCAACAATCAGGGGAATAGACTTGATTCTTTCGATGATATGTATTTGGAAGTTATTAATTACTTTAAAGAGTTGTTAGGTTCCCATTATCCTAATGTCAAAGCCTGCTCACCTTCTCTCCTTAAAGAATTGATCCGCCCAACTTCCTCCTTGGAATACAATGAAATTCTAGCTAAGGAAGTTACCAATGAGGAGATTAAAGAAGCCATTTTTAGTCAAGGCAATGACAAGGCTACAGGCCCTGATGGTTTCCCTTTTCTTCAAAAAAGCTTGGTTGGTGGTTGGTATGATGTTATTAAGGCTATAAAATACTTCTTTCAAGAATCTTACATTTATCCAGCCTTTAATTCGACCACTATTGCTTTGATTCCTAAAATGCCTAACCCAAGCAAAGTATCTGAATTTTGTTCTATTTCTTGTTGTTCTGTGATTTACAAGACCATCACTAAGATTCTTGTCAATAGGATGACTACTTTGCTTCCAAGGATTATAGCTCCTAATCAATCTGCTTTTTTCAAGGGTAGAAGTATTGTAGACAATACCCTCCTTACCCAGGAGATTGTGAAAGGATATGGGAGAAAAATTATTTCACCTATGTGTGCTTTGAAAATTGATCTTCAAAAGGCTTTTGACTCTATCAATTGGGATTTCATGTCTGCAGTTCTTAAAGCACTGGAATTCCCTACTAAAGTCATTGATTGGATTATTTCTTGCTATTCAAATGCTAGATATTCAATTTCCTTCAATGGAAGTTTGATTGGTTATTTCAAGGGAGCAAAGGGGATTAGACAATGTGACCCTCTTTCCCCCATTTTATTTGTTATGATTATGAATGTTCTGTCCAAACTTTTCAACATTGCTGCTTCTAAAGGGATGTTTGCCTTTCATCCTAAATGTAAGAAAATTAGACTCACCCACTTGTCATTTGCTGATGACTTATTAATCTTCTGTAAAGGTAACCTCGAGTCTGTTATGGGAGTCATTACTGTTTTGGATTGCTTCTATGAGTTTTTTGGGCTGAAACTTAATGCAGGAAAATACGAGATATTCATTGTTGGCATTCCTCTTCACACCCTTGATACTATCATAATTTCTTCTGGCTTTAAACATGGTAGACTACATGTTCGTTATCTAGGAGTTCCTCTGGTCACCAAGAAGCTATCTGAAAAAGATTGTCAAGCTCTTCTTGACAACATCAAGAATAGACTTCACCAATGGTCTAGGAAGAAGATGAGTTTTGCAAAAAGGGTCGAGCTCATTAAGACTGTTCTTTATAGTGTTGCTAATTATTGGTATAGGCAACTTGTCTTACCTCAATCCATTATCAAGAAGATCGAGCAACTGTGTTAAAGATTTTTCTGGAAAGGCTCGGACACAACTGCTGTAGGAGCAAGGGTGAGCTGGGTAAAAATTTGTAAACCTAATTTAAAAAGAGGTCTAGGTCTTAAGGATATCAAATCCTGGAATAGTGCGTGCTTGATTCATTTGACCAGAAAACTTCTAGCAGGGAAGACTCACTATGGGTAGCTGGATACATAAATACATTATCAAACATTAAGACTTATGGACCATGAATGAACCTTTGAGTTCCAGCTGGAACTTCAGGTGAATTCTGAAATTAAGATTCATAGCTAGACCAGTGCTTGTGTCATCTGCAAATAACACAAAACAAATTTGGGAAGAGATTCGGCCCAAAGACAACAAAGTTCCTTAGCAAAATCTGATCTGGTTTCCTCTTCATGTCCCGAAGCATAGCATAATATCTTGGATGGCTATCTTGGATCGGCTCCCAACTAGGGACAGATTGCAACGTTTCAGGCTTGTTACTAATGCTGATTGCATTTTCTGCTCTGAAGAAAAATGAAACTAGAGACCATCTCTTTGCCAATTATATGCAGACTGCTTCCATTTGGAGGTCACTTCTCCAACTGTTTGGTTTGAATAGACCTTCCTCGTCCTGGTCCAATCTACTGGAGTGGGTTGCCATCTTATAGAAAGGTAAATCTCTGATTTCTAGTATTTTGAAGCTCTTTTGGTGCACCATATGAGATGAAAGAAACCGAAGAATTTTCGCAGGGAAATGCAGAAGTGAAGAAGAAATTATTAACATCATGAAGGAGATTGTAAGAACTGTTCTAAGTAATAGGAATGTTAATAGAAATAATAGCACGAATTTAGCTCTATGTAATAATTGGGGTATAGTATAGTTTTTTTGTACATAGGTTCCCCTTTTTGTTCATTTGATTGTATTGTTTTGTAGCAGTTCTCTGCTATTTTTGGTAATAAAAGCTTAATTATATAAAAATAAATAAAAAAATATGTAATTAACAGCCTATAATTTCAAATCATGTTCCATTTGTTATATAAAAAAATTAAATTCAATTACCATTCAAACCATATAAATTTCAAATTCTAATTTAATTTATAAGATCTATGATGAAAATTTTGAAATCTATGATGAAATTTTTGAAGTCAATGTTGTGATTATTTTCTGAAACAATTTATTTTTTATCTTTTGACTTAAATTTAAAGGGATAGAATATGCGATTTTTTTGGATAAATTTTGTTATTATATCAATCATACCAGACATTTATTTTAATTTTAGAGATTAAATAATTTATTTATAATAATATTTAATTAAATAATTATAATTTTTAGAAGAAGAAATGCATTTATAATTGAATTAGTTGAATTGTATTTTACCCTTAAAAATGAGAAAGTCAAGTTGAAGCCTCGGATAAGTAAACGGGTACGAGGGTACAATGAAACATAATTTTCTGACTGCCATTCAGTCTGGTCTATCTGCACGAAAAGCTCAAAACTCCACCCTAAAAGGTCTAATTTCATAAAAGGCCCCGATACTATCCAATTGTTATAAAATTTATCTTTTTATTATAATTTGATCATTTAAAAGTTTTCAACTTTCCATATAGATGTATTTTCAATCATATAATCTTTTTCTTCTGTTAATCGTACCTAACAATTTGACGTGGTTTGTCTTTTAAAAATGTGACATATATATATATTTATATCTTTTACAATTATATATATATTTTATATATTTAAAAAAAAAATCTGTTTTGATTATAAAATAATTTTTGTAGCTTATTTATAATGTACACATATCATATAGACTTAACCAGAGGCAGACGTAGGATTTTATATTAGGGGAGGCGAAAATGAATTTATAAAATTCTAAGTGATGAACTTGAACTTATAAAATTTTGGGAGGGGCAAAACATATTTTCAATAGAAAATATATAAAAAAATATAAAATATATGATAATTTTAAAATTTTAAGAAGGCGATCGTCCCACCCGCCCAGTGTATATCCATCTCTGGACTCAACTACTCGAACTTGAATATTCTAAAAAAATAACATTCTCTTTCACACTGAGACACTCGATAAATCATATTTCTTCTCTTTTATAACGTACAAAAAGTTGCTTAATTATATAAAATAATCATTGTGTGTGTATATATATATATATATCATGCTTGAAAAAGTGGCATTATATTATTCGACAGAAAATACATGTTTTGAAAAATAAGGGATTAAAAACAATCAATTATAGTTTTTAGGCTAAATCCACCAAAATCTAATAATACAAGTACCTCCTACAGAATATAAGCAAAACAAAATCTGAATTTATTTCCTTTTTTATCTCCAAAACTACGTTTTTTTTTTTTTGGTTTTTGCTGGCGAGGTTCTCCTCACTCCTTGTTTGGGACATAAAAAAGGAATCTTTCCATATCTTTACTTCTTGCTTTTTCCTTTATTTTCTTTCCAAATTCCCTCTCTCTGAAAACAATTGGTGGCTTTGTATCTGGTTCTTTGTGAAGTCCTAAAAAGCAGATATATTATGTGAAAAACCATACGATTTCACTCCAATCCCTCACTTGTTCTTCCTTCCATTTTCCTTGCTAAATGAGCTTCGGTTGGTAGGTTTTTAATGTCCTTTTCTTCACTCTTTTCTCCCCTCTTTGGCTATATGCTCTTATCCTTTCTAGCTAGTTTCAAATCCCTATCTAGGGTTTTCAGTGTTTTTTCTGCTTTTATTGATGAGGTACCCTGTGGTTCTTTTTCTATTTTATTACTTTCTCGTAAAGTATTGATTACGCTAAGCTTAATTTGGAAAGAAAACTGTGCTGCGGTTGATCTATTTGCTTTTTATATCACTGATTCCTTTTCTATGCATTTTCCCATATCTGGAAACGTTTGCTCATCTTAAACTTGCTTCCTTCCTTGTATTTCTGCTCGATCTGTAGAGTTTCCTTGTGTTTCTTGTTAATGAAACTAAACACCATTTTTTTTTCTTTCTGGGGATTTTCCCGTGTTTGATTTTTTGTTACCAAAATTGAATACCCTTTATTTATTTTTTCTATTCCCCAAGAGCTTGGTAAGTTTTCTTTTCCGATTGGATTTTTTGTGTTTTGACTAAATTTTAATCTTCTTTGAAACACCCTTTTTCTGGAGATATCACTGTTTGCCGTTGATTCTAAGGAAGTACTGGTTCAAATGGTGCTTTGGTTTGGTTTTGTATGAAAGGTTTGGATAAAAATTGATCAAATGACGAGACAAAAAATCCAGATCAAGAAAATCGACAACATAGCGGCGAGGCAGGTGACTTTCTCTAAGAGGAGAAGAGGGCTTTTCAAGAAAGCTCATGAGCTTTCCACTCTTTGCGATGCCGAGATTGCTCTTTTAGTGTTTTCAAACACCGGGAAGCTCTCCGAGTACTCCAGCTCCAGGTAATTTAATACTATGCTTCTTCTTCCCTTCTCTCGTATTATATGTTCATCATGCTTTTGTGCTCTTGCTCTATTTTTCGGCCTTTACATAGGAAACTACGCTTGCTGTTTGCTTGTAGATTATAGTGCGTAGGTCAGTGAGTGAGAGCAAGAGAGAAAGATATTATGCCATTGAATGAAGATCTTTAGAATCAAGAAAACTGTGTTAAAGTATTAATCATAATGACTGAAATGTACTGGATTCCTATATATTTCTATTAAAAAAAAGCTTCTTCCTTTCATAAAAAACACATATGCAGTACTACAATAACTTGAAGCCCAAGATATTCCTATCTGTTGAAGGTTGCAGAAGCCATATTTTATGGCTGTCAGATAGACGATGCCTTCCATGTATTGTTTGCCGTTGCAAGTAACAAGTGAACCCTCATATTTTACTTACCATCCTGGTTTAACTTGACAACGAGCAAAGCTTTGCTTAATATGAACATAGAGTGTACACTAATACATGCAACTCGGTGGGTCTTATATAAAATAGGCACTTATTCATCATGGCTTTTGTGATTGTTTCTTTAACATGTTGGTTTCTCGAGCTTTGTCTATGGCGGTTCTATTGTTTTGCTTCTTGTTCTTTTAGGGTATGGGATGGAACCCTATCTTTTCAAAGCAAACTTTAGGGTATAGTATGATGAGTGTTAGGCTTCCCATATATATATATATGGTCCTTGAAAAATCTTGCAAATATGTATATCAAATGAGTATCATTTTGTATTGGTGTGTACTATCCTAAGTACGAGGCAGGTGATTGAAAGGCGAAATCTGCAGTCAGAAAGGATTGACAAATTGGATCCAAATCCATCCCTTGAGCTGCAGGTTAGAGCTTTGAAGATCATTTTATCTTTGTCTTTCTTCTTTTCCATATTATCAATAAATTTTATAAGTATCATTTCATTTTGCTACCCATCATTACACAAACTATTTAAACTAATTGCCATAAGTCATAATTATCTAAACTTAAACATTTTTTAATATTAGTTTTCTAATTTCAGTCTCTCTTTTTTGAAATTTTTTTGGTGCCTCATTAAAACTCCTTCTACCAACATAAGGTGGTTCTGTAACAGGAAAAAGAGTACCCACCAAATCATTAATCACGTAAAATCATATCATTTGTTACATCAGCCTCGATGAAATCAAAATAATCAGTATTAAAGAAAAAGGCAACATAATACAAGAGAAAAAGGCAACATGATACAAGAGAGCTCGCTTTGCTAAAACATGATCCGCTCTAACTTCAGTCTTGAGCCAGTGGTATAGATTGATTTTTTTGTTTAAATGTTCAAAAAAGTGCCCAAATTCTAATTATTTTAAGATTTATTCACATGGGATAATCTTTCAGTCTTAACCCTTGAAGAAGAAGAGGTTAAACATTTTCAAATATGTTCAAAATAAGGGTCTAAATGTTTTTAATATGCTCAAATAATAGTTAATTTAATTAAATTTGATGATGTAGTATTATTATTTTAGCATGATAGCAAATTTAACATGTAGCATTTATTCATCTTGTCACAATGACCATAAGTTGTTTTTTCATTTTAGCCCTCACCTTCAAATTTTTAAATATTTTTTAAAGTAAATGTGGATTGCTATACAAGTTGACATGTTGCACTACTAAAATTTTAACGATCTAGTCAGGTTTTAGTTAAAAAATAATAATAATTTAGTTAAATTTTAAAGATTGATGGTCAAAATGATCTAAAAAGTTAGGGTCTAAATGATTAAAGGGATAAACATGGATTAAATTTATTATCATATCTATTTTTATGAAAGATGATGTGGTATTAATGTTAATCAATTATAAAAATAATTAAAAGGAAAAAATTAATTTAAAAAATTTTAAACCTTATTTGAGCATATTTAAAAATATTACTCTTATTCAACAATTTTGAAATATTAAATATAAAAAAATCTAAAAAATTTTGCCCCGAGCTTTTATTTTTTTTGGGGTAAATTATCCTTCATAGCATTGAAGGGACTTGAACATGAGTCATGAACTATTGACATACTTAACCACTATATCAAGTTTAATATATACTTTATATATAGATTAGGGCAGTTCCAGCAGAAAGAATGGTAGGTTAGGGCAGTTCTCTTGTTAACTGGGTTGAATGGTGGGAAGTGAGCCTCTCGAATACCAGCTCTTGCCTGGCCAATTAGAATTTTTGGACCAAATCCTTATATAGAATATGCATTTGACTTGTTTCAATATATCCTGTCCCTCTGTATTTCCCATAGCATATATAGTTGACTATGAAACTTAAGATTAATATCCCAATTATATACTCATTTACAACACTCAAATTTGTAATTTTAACGGTCAAAGTTGAGTGATTGTGAATTTAAGACCTCCAGCAGCACTGTCCCTTGCAAATGCTTTGCATTGATGCTAAGATGTCTGATATTGTTTCTTCTTCTTGATTTAGCTTCAAAGTAGCACATGTGCCATGTTGAGCAAGGAGATAGCAGAGAAGAGCGGAGAACTGAGGTAAATCTGAATGTTAGAGCTGTTTTGTTGTTTCAATGTTAGAGCCATCTTTTCATTTCATTGATAGGCAGCTGAGAGGAGAGGAGCTCCAAGGGTTAGATTTAGAGGAATTAAAACAGCTTGAGAAATTACTTGAAGCTGGCCTTAAACGAGTTACGCAAACTAAGGTGTTTTTTAAGCCCCGATTCACCTCTTAATAAACCAGGTTTTCATGTGAAACTTTTGTTCATTGTGGTTTAACTAATGCTGATTGCTTTTTATATTTCAGGATGAACGATTTTTCAAAGAAATCAGCACCCTCAAAAGGAAGGTATATAATATATGTATACATGAGAAGCAGTATCCGTTTATACTGTGTAACCTTTTTTTTAGTTTTACACCATTTTAGAATGGTTAGATGAGTGAAATAGACTGTTGAGATTAACATTAGTAAATGAGAATATATACATAGAAAAAATAAACAAGAAGATAATCTCAACCGACTATTCTCACTCATCCAACGATTATAAAAGGATGTAAAACTAAAAGTTTTTACACTAGGTGTAAGTGCATACTAATCAAGGATGGATGCAAAAATTTATGTGAGGGTATGAACTTAAAAGTTATATTAAGAATTTAGGAGTGAGAAATTATAAACTCTCAGTTATGCAAAATTAGATAATCAATAGAAAATACTTGAATTATATAGGGATTTGAAACTTCAAGGAATGCGATCACACCCCAATACTCTATGGGTCCATCATCGATCCTAGCCATATATAGGGGTGAGCGTTCGATCGAGTCAAAAAATTTCGAGTTATTTGACTTGACGAGTCATATTCTATAGTTCAAACTTGATTTGAATTTTATTCTACTTGAGTTTATATTTAAATTTAGTTGTAAATATTTATAATGTTATGATCCTACTTGATTCCAATTTAAATGAATTTTATAACTATATATGATACATATATATTTTTTCATATGCGATATACATATATTATAAAGAGTTGAGAGACTCGACTCAAACTTAAAAATCAATCCCCTAATAAATAAAAATTTTGAATTAAATAAGTTACTATCTGAGTTGTATTTTATAATTCAATTTGAACTTGGTTTTTTTTAACTATAGTTATATATATTATGGTCTTATCAAATGATTGCAAAAAGATGCCTGTACTTTGTTTTATTCCCAAGATTTCTGTCCTTTCTTGGTCAAATGATCTTTATTGCTGATAAATTATTTTTACCCTTGTTGTATTTGAAGGGAGTAGAACTGACGGAAGAAAACCAGCGTTTGAAAGAGAAAGTGAGTGTATATCACCTGGAAAACTCTTACTTTACTGCATGCTTTCATTTCATTCAATGGTAAAAGTTGATTTTGGTATAGATGGAGAATTTGCCACCTCATGTGGCTGAACAAGGCCGACCATCAGAGTCCAATGGCCATGCATGGAGAACCTTAAGCTCTGACATTTCTCTCAGATTGGGGTAACTCGATTTTAGCAGCATTCATACATTTTTTTTTATTTGTTCAGATTGAGTGATTACAACTTACAAACAAAAGTAGTATTTGTTCAGATTTTTCTTAATTAATAGCAATACACACCCTAAAGTATTATGAAAAGAACAACAATATTACATATTATCACGGAAACTACTCAATGAATTAAACAACACATATATACGAATGCATTTTCGTGACGATTTCAAAGGATTACATAACCTTTTTTGATGTCTGGTTTATGTCATAGAGCTTGGTCTGAGTTTATGTTGGAATGCTTGCTTGTTGCAGGTTACCTTACCCTAACTGAGTGTTGAAAAGGTCGAGGGGATGATGCCAATGGATGTCTGTTCATCACCATTATGATCCATGGAAAAACTCGATTACAGTAAATTTGGGTTTTCCATGCCTCTTAATTTAAGTGTATAAATGATGAGCTGATGAGCCATTTTGTGATCTCAGCAAGCAATATATGTAGCAAAATGTATAAATTTCCCATCTGTTGGAAAGAGTTGATGCATATTCGCTAGAGACCGGTTTTGCATATAATCGCAACAAGTTTAATACTTTCCGAAAGCGTTAGTCCCGTTACTTTCCTACGTTCATTTCGCTTCCACCCCTTGGAAGGAAGAAAATAGTAATTAGAAAGAGAGAATGAAGAAATCTGGGGTTTTCATGTTTCAGAGAGAGAGATTTGGAATCTGGGTTTTTTCTTCTTTGTTTTCATATATTGGATGTGGGAATTTGTTCAAGTTGAGAAAAAGAAAAGGGTTAGATTTGTTAGGTTAAAAGCAACATTTTCATTCCTGCATTAATGGTATTAAGCTGTTATCTAAGTACGTGCAGTTCAAAACAGGTTTTGCATATGGATAGAGATGACCATAAATAAAATTTCAAGACGTATACTATCAATGGAATTGATAAGGACCATTGCGGGGAAGCTGGAAACGTTGGAAAGAATCGGGTAAAGACGGAAATTGACTTGGGTCAGGCTAACTGGGTTTAACCCAGATTTAGTAGTTAACTTGGGTCTGGAAATGGGTTCTATGGGGGTACATAAGTTTAGATGAATATAAGTTTAAACCGGAAAATTTAGGACAAATTTGATAAGTTTTTGAAAAGTGACTTTTAACATAGGATAGAAAAGAATTTTTAAGAGTACTATTTAATAATATAATTTAAAATTTAACTGTTAGAGATTATTGTTAAAAATGAGTTTGAAAAGATAAAATGTCCATTATATACATTATGTTGTAAATTAAAAACATAAAATTTATATTATATTTACACTCATTAACATTATGATTTATAAAATATATCAACTTAAATTATAATAAAAATATAAAAAATTATTTAAGATAATTCATTAATAATATTTTTATAAATGAAACATTTTTATTAATTTTAATAAATAAATTCAAATAAAATTATTATTATATATGGAATATATCAATTTAAACTATAAAAAACTATACAAAATTTAATTGTAATAAAAATATATTTTATAATAACACACTATTAATATTTTAATATATAAACCATGATTTTTATTTACTTTAAGTCATTAAAATAAGTTATTAAATAATTAATCATTTTTTAAGGATGTTAATATTAAGTTATTAAAATAAAATGTAGATACATAATTGAGTGAAGCTCATACATTAGTACGAGTTAAATTATAAGGGTTAACTATACGGATGATCACTTTTGTTTGAGTTTTGTTCACTTTTGGTCACTGATTTCAAAAAACATAAGATATTTTTATTTACTTTAAGTCATTAAAATAAGTTATTAAATAATAAATCATTTTTTAAGGATGTTAATATTAAGTTATTAAAATAAAATGTAGATACATAATTGAGTGAAGCTCATACATTAGTACGAGTTAAATTATAAGGGTTAACTATACGGATGATCACTTTTGTTTGAGTTTTGTTCACTTTTGGTCACTGATTTCAAAAAACATAAGATATTGTCACTTTCGTTTTTATTTAATTAAGATGTGGTCACCCCGAGTTAACTTCCGTTAACAACAGCTAAATATTTTTATATAATCACATATTAGGTCGATGTTATTTACATATTCTCTTAATTTAGTCCTACTTTTAATAAATTAAAATAAATTTGATCATCCAATCAAATGATGCCACAAGTCACCATTCAGTTGGAGGACTAACTTTATTTTAATTTAATATATTTATTTTCACCAATCAACGAGTGACATGTGTCACCCTCTAGTTGAATGAAAACAAAGGAAAGCAAATTGGGGCAAAAAATCAAACCTTGGTCACTTAAGAAATTTAACATGTATCCAACCATTAAGCCAAGACCATTGCTTGGTCTCAAGTAGATAACATGGTGTATATATTTTGTATCTTAGTGTATAAATACTTAAATTCATAATATTTTATATATATTAACTTCAAAAATATTTTTTATATTAACTTATTAAATATATTTTATTATTAACTTGATTTAAAAATATTTTATTTTTATTTAAAAATATATATTTTATGTTAAAATTTATTTAAAAATATGCCTGAGATAATATGTAAATAACAATGATCAAATGTGTGATTATACCAACTATCAAGTCACATATTCCGTTAATTGTTAACAACAATTAACCCATGATGACCATGTCTTAATTAAATAAAAACAAAAGTGACCATATATTAATTAAATAAAAATGAAAGTGATTATATCTTATGTTTTTTGAAATCAGTGATCAAAAGTGAACAAAACACAAACATACGTGATCATTCGTGTAGTTAACCCAAATTATAATTTACTTCCAAATGCAAAGTTGAAAAGAAAAATCTATGTTGAAAACATTTTTTATGTTTCGATATAACAAATTAAGATAAATGAATTTTAAGATTTTACAAATGATTTTCTAAGTATATTCGATACAATTATTCGAATATCAAAATATTACTCCAAGTCTCTCAAAGATCAATTTCAATCCTTACTAAAGTGTAAAATTGTGTTTTAAACTTAAAGTATTTTTGAAACAAATTTCACAAAGTATTTCAAACCAAAAATGAGCCAAAAATCAATTTTATAAAGGGATGTACCGATGCACTCATTAATACATTGATGCACACCCCATTTCGAATGCATTTTATGCACCGATGCACAGCCATGCATCGTTGCACTCAGGATTTTATTGAAACATCGAATGCATTTTATGCATCGATGCACAGACCATGCATCAATGCATTCTTGGCTTGTTTGAAACATCAAATGTAATTAATGCATCGATGCACCCCTAGCGTACCGATGCACTAAGTCTTATAACGGTCGAAATATTTAAATTTTATAAATAGTGCATCGATGCACCTTGTGCATGCATCGATGCACACATGCTCCCAACTGTTTTATTAATTGATAATTACACTATAACGACTCTATTGACTTCACCAATGATCCCCAACATTCAGAATTGATCCAAGGTGTATTTAAACAAGTTTAGGAGTCATTGATCAATATCAAGAAACAACAATTAAGAGAGAATCAAAGAGAAAGTTTTAAACATCAAGTTTGAGTTATTCAAGCCTATTTTTCATTCAATATTCATTTTGCTTTCAAGAACACCATTTGTACTCAATTGTATTCATTCTTGAGTGTTCTTTCTTTATTCTAGAATTATGCAAACAATCTACCTTGTGAAGTTGTTTTCTTGTAAGTTTGCAAATTTGTGTATTTCTCTTTGGGAAAGAGTGTGCTCAAGAATTTGGGGTATAATTATTGAGAGAGTTGTAATGTTACTCTTTGTCCTTAAAAGAAAGAACAAATTAGTTAATTTATTGGAAAATCCTTAATGTGGATAGCTAAGGTAGTGGACGTAGACTTTGGTTGAAAAATTCGAACCACTCTAAATCGCTGTGCAAATATTTTCAATTTTCTGCAAAAGTTTCTACCAAATTTTTTATTGCCAATTCACCCCCTCTTGGTCAATTCTGTCAATCGATTAACTCAACAATTGGTATCAGAGCCTTACTCATTTGAAGGTTTAATCACCTCTTGAGTTGATTCGGGAAGAGTTACATCGATATTCAAGTCATCAATGGTCGGTACTTCAAACTTCAACATTGTTCTTGATTCAATGCCCGTCAACAAGCCTCATTTCTTCAATGAAGCTAATTATGCTTATTGGAAGAATATAATGATGTACTTCATTCAAGTAAGTGACATGAGAGCATGGAATGTCATTGAAGACGGATACATCAAACCTTCCACTCATCCAAGATTGTGGAGTGAAGGAGAAACAAGAATGTTTCAGCTCAACTCAAAGGCCAACCATATCATATTTTATGCTCTTGGACCAGATGAATACGGGAGAGTTTCATCTTGAATAACCACCAAGGGAATATGGGATAAACTACAAGTCACTCATGAAGGCACAGACGAGGTAAAAAAATCTAAAATTAGTCTCCTAACTCATATCTATTAAAATTTTAGGATGAAACTGGATGAAGATATCAAAACCATGACGGATAGATTTTCAACGATTGTCAATGGTCTCAAATCATATGGAGAGATTATTCCGAACGAGAAGATTGTGAGGAAGTTAGTTTACTCTCTTCCGAAAGCTTGGCAATCAAAGAAAACAACAATCATCGAGGCCAAGAACTTAAAGTCTTTAACTCTCGAGGAGTTAATTGGTTCACTCCTCACTCATTAAATGATGCTTCAAGATGAGGTAGACCTCGAGAAGATTAACGAGCCAAAGAAGGAGACGGAGAAAAAGAAGAACTTAGGAGTTGCTCTCAAGTCCACAAGAGATGAGAGTGATCCGGATGAAGATGACGATGACGATTACGAGGAGATGGCATTATTTGCCAAACGGTTCAGAAAATTGATGAAGCCCAATCAAGGAAGAAAATTCAAACGAAACGAAGTTTTCAAAAACGAACTGAAAGAGAAAGACCCTATTATTTGCTACGAATACAAAAAGTCAGGTCATGTCAAATACGATTGCCCGCAATTAAAGAAAAATGGTCAATCCAAGAAGAATCACAAGGCTCATGTCGCTACATGGAGCGATGAAGAAGGTTTCGATGAAGAGGAACAAGAAGTAGAACACTTGTGCTTGATGGCCATCGGGGAAAACTCTCAGATAACCTCTAACTCATCCAATTTTGAGGATTATTCTTTTGATGAGTTAGTAGAGGAATATACTGAGTTGGCTCCGGATTATGAGAAATTATTTTTAAAATACAAAAATGATATTTCAAAATTGAAAAATGAAAATAATCTTATATCCAAGACCAACAATGATCTTGAAAGTAAGATCAAATAATTGCAAATCAAACTAAACGAGTTTGAAAAGAAAATTTCTGATTTGCATAATTTACTTTCAAAGG